GTTGGTCGCGACACGTCTGTTGTTGGTCGCGACACGTCTGTTGTTGGTCGCGACACGTCTGTTGTTGGTCAGGACGTGTCTGTTGTTGGTTAGGACACGTCCGTTGTTGGTCAGGACGTGTCTGTTGTTGGCCGGGACACGTATGTTGTTGGTCAGGCCGTGTCTGTTGTTGATCAGGACGTGTCTGTTGTTGGTCAGGACGTGTCTGTTGTTGGTCAGGACGTGTCTGTTGTTGGTCAGGAGTGTCTGTTGTTGGCCGGGACAAGTATGTTGTTGGTCAGGCCGTGTCTGTTGTTGGTCTGGACGTGTCTGTTGTTGGTCGTGACACGTCTGTTGTTGGTCAGGAGTGTCTGTTGTTGGTCGCGACACGTCTGTTATCTGTCAGGACGTGTCTGTTGTTGGTCGCGACACTCTGTTGTTGGCCGGGACACGTATGTTATTGGTCAGGGCGTGTCTGTTGTTGCCCGGGACACGTATGTTGTTGGCCGGGACACCTATGTTGTTGGCCGGGACACGTATGTTGTTGGCCGGGACACGTATGTTGTTTGCCGGGACACGTATGTTGTTTGCCGGGACACGTATGTTGTTATCGCGACACTCTGTTGTTGGCCGGGACACGTATGTTATTGGTCAGGGCGTGTCTGTTGTTGGCCGGGACACGTATGTTGTTGGCCGGGACACCTATGTTGTTGGCCGGGACACGTATGTTGTTGGCCGGGACACGTATGTTGTTTGCCGGGACACGTATGTTGTTGGCCGGGACACGTATGTTGTTGGCCGGGACACGTATGTTGTTACCCGGGACACGTATGTTGTTCGTCGGGACAATTCGAGCTTATGTTAACGATTGTAATCTGAATCGACTGTAAATGGAACTGTCCATTTATACCGGCATAATGTATTCAGACATCTCATGATCAAGTTATTTCCTCCCTGAAGCCGCATTTAATATCTAAAATCTAATACCCAACATGTAATAACTAATATCTAACATCTAATAACTTACATCTAATTTCTAACATCTAATACCTAGCATCTTTTATATAGCTTCTAATATCTAACATATATCTATTCTGCAAGTGGGATGTATAAAATACCTAACGATAATTTAAACAATAAAAATACAAGTGACCAAGTCTTAGTGACCCCTCACGCATAGTCCTCCTGGTACAGGTGTAGTTTTTGAATAATTTGCACAATCGATTGGCTTTAGTCAAAAAATAGAGACCTACCTCGTGCTCATGTGGATATGCTAAGTCATTTTTGACTTGCAAATTCAAGTCCATTATCATAAAAGCTTCATTTCATCATGATAGGTTCATCGTGACCCACTAAACTTGATTTAATATGACTCCTTCTGGTCGGTATGCAGAATAAACAGAACTATTTGTCCAAACACTGCTGGTTTCAAGTCAACAAAAACACCAGCTCTAACAAAATTGTCAAGAAATCAAATTCATTGTAAATAATGCATTGCTGAGTGCTGTCATACTGTTTTTTTTTAAACGAAAAACTTCAGGCCAGAGGAAAAAAAAATTAACTTAACTTATTTTCAGATCCAAAAATTCTAAAGATGTATTCTCCCTAACCCTTGTGTCTATTTTGCGGGCGTTTGTTTTGACATTGTCCAACGAGTGTGAATGGAAATTTCCCAGAAATAAAATAAAATAACTCAACCTCTTTTCTCTTAACTCTCCTCCTGGACATTTGAATGAAGCATAAACAAACCACCTTTGGTCGTGATCCCCCCTTCCCTCTTCCGGAGTCGTAATTGGATGTCCATATTCTGACTACAACAAGTCCACTAGCAGCTTCATCAAAGGCAATCTGTAAAGTTCGAGACTGCGATTCCCTCTTTCTTCTTATATCTTCTTATATCGGCTGATCATTCTGGCACCTGCTCTGAATTCAGAGTTTGCCTTCTCTTAGATAAGTTGCCGTCCGAGGCTAGCGAGTCCCATCTACCGGGGTGATTTAAATGTTGGCTTTGGTGGGGATTGAGCTCCAGACCACCAGCTAATGGGTAAGTTTAGACCACTCGGCCACCCAGCACCCAGCCCCACTGTCCTAAACAATGTTTCAATGTCGTCAATGCACTTAAGTTCCTTTGTTTGCAAACATCATCGATGCCCAAATCTCCTCGATGATCAACGCAATGTTGCCCCAGTAGATGTAAATCTCCTCGATGACCAACGCAATGTTGCCCAGTAGATGTAAATCTCCTCGATGACCAACGCAATGTTGCCCAGTAGATGTGGGATGCGTTGGCGAAGAATTGCTGCAACTCCAGTGTTCATGCCTAGCACAAGCGATGTGACATCAGAGGTAAACATAACCATTTCCTTCATGCCCAATGAATTCTCTTGATCAAACTCTCTTATTGCTGATTCCACAGATTGACTGTCACATGCAGACAAAATTTTAAAAAAAACACTGTCTGGTAAACATTGCTGGGACATGGCCAAAACTTTGCGTATATATAATAACATAAACCATTTTGTCAATTATGCATCAGTGCTTTCATCTAGTGTTAATGTGCGAAATTTTGCATTGCGGAGTTCGTTAATTATAGCATCCCTCACTTCACTACATAATCTACAGAATCAACAAACTCAAAAGAGTAATTCTTACTGCGCCAGCTATCAGGGAATGTGCATACTTAGCCGTATGGTTGTCTATGTATTTAACCTCATTCATTACCATGGTCTTCTTGAAGAATCTCACATTTGTGTACCTTCTTGGCTCATGCCTCGATCAGCGACACTTTCTGTAAGCATTCGCGGTACACCCCAGGCTGTATAGAGCAAAGTCTCTGTACACCATCTGTGTGTATTGGTGGCTTGATAGTTCGTTTAAAATACTCCAGCTTCAAAACCTCCAACCTCAAGCATTGGCTCTGAAGCATATTTCACAACGTCATCGTAAATTTCATATTATATAAAAATGTCACCCTGCTTGACAGTCCACTCTGACGACCCATATGGTAATGTGACAGTCCACTCTGACGACCAATATGGTAATGTGACAGTCCACTCTGACGAACAATATGGTAATGTGACAGTCCACTCTGACGAACAATATGGTAATGTGACAGTCCACTCTGACGAACAATATGGTAAGGTGACAGTCCACTCTGACGAACAATATGGTAATGTGACAGTCCACTCTGACGAACAATATGGTAATGTGACAGTCCACTCTGACGAACAATATGGCAAATGTGACATGCCACTCTGACGAGCATATGGTAGTGTGACAGTCCGCTCTGACGACCAATATGGTAGTATGACAGTCATCTCTGATGACCAATATGGAAGTGTGACAGTCCGCACTGACGACCAATATGGTAGTGCGACAGTCCGCTCTGACCACCAATATGGTAGTGTGACAGTCCGCTCGGACGAGCAATATGGTAGTGTGACAGTCCGCTCTGACAACCAATATGGTAGTGTGACAGTCCACTCGGACGAGCATATGGTAGTGTGACAGTCCGCTCTGACAACCAATATGGTAGTGAAACAACGCGCCAAAATGCATATCCATGCATATTGAATTTTTGCGACTGCCTTCAGCACCCTAGAACTCTGCACCCTCGAACTCTGCACCCTCGAACTGTGCACCCTCGAACTCTGCACCCTCTCCCTCACGCTTAACATTGCTACGGCGTGGTGTTGGATGTAATCCTGTGCTAAATGAATACCCTGGGGCACGCCACAACTAAAGTCAATTCAGTTCTAGCCCTGACACCCATTTTGGATCCACCGTGGTGCTGCCTAAGTATTTGAAGCCCCCCCCCCCACTTCTCCCAGTGCAGAGAGATGTGCTCTTGGTTTGCTGAGTTTACCATAACATAAATAAACGCAATATTCATCGGCGCCCTCGATTTCTACCCTCCACACCGATGAAAATGATCGATAATTTAGTGACGAGAGATACACTGCCTAGAGGCGTAGCCACCATGGGGGCCAAATATTTTTGCTACTCCCCCTTTCACGATACATATTGTGCAGTTGTCCGAAAGTGCCCGACCTCCATTTAAAGAAAAAGTTACACCTGGGTGAACAACCTCATCCTCCCCCTTTATAGGCCGCTGGAAGGGGCGTAGCTAGAGTGTTTAATGTCAGGGAATATGAGTCATTTTAACGCCACCCCCACCCCCACTTTTTAACTCTGAAACTAATTATTTTCAACTATTAATAAATACTATCAAAGCCCATTTTGCCCCACGCTAGTCTGGCACCCCGGGAGTAAGTCCCATCTTTTCACCCCTTCTGCCCCCCCCCCGAAAATCTGAAAATCCCCCGGGGGGGGGAGGAAGGGGCGTAGCGAGAGTTTTTAATGCCAGGGAATATGAGTCATTTTAACGCCCCCCCCACCCCCCCTTTTTAACTCTGAAACTAATTATTTTCAACTATTAATAAATACTATCAAAGCCCATTTTGCCCCCCGCTAGTCTGGCCCCCCGGGAGTAAGTCCCATCTTTTCCCCCCTTCTGCCCCCCCCCCCGAAAATCTGAAAATCCCCCGGGGGGGGGGGAGAATGTCTGAAAGACACACTTCCTAGAAATGCCATGCCATGCAATGAGAACCGTTGTGTGGGTCTTTGAACCACAAGGGCTGCAGGGGGCCTCGGATTTTTAATGGGCCCAAAGTTGTGATGTGGAATAATTTTAGGTGACACATAAGAGTAACACAACGGCTCTGCATGCGACATGGCATATTCTCCTATTAATGATTCACCGGATGATGAAATCATGATTGTTATTATTATTATAATAATTTTGTGATTTTTTTTTTTTACAGTTAATCCAAATTGAAATATATTTTGATCATAACCGTTTTACTTTACAATATGTCATTTTAGACTTAAGTCCCTCTTGATCTCATAATATGAATAACGGGTTTTATATGACGCCCCCAGCCTAAAGCGTCTACACATTATTACATTATAAAAAGTCGATTCTAAAAATTAATGCTTAATCAAAAATTCCAAAGGGCTCTTGACAACACCTGTGTGTCACGTGACAAAGCTATATATTACACGAGAAACATACCACCAAGCCGGTCACTTTTTCGATATTTTGTAAATATCTATGAAAATGATTAAGCACTATTTCGGTGAATCATGTGAGATACTTAGCCTCATTGGCGCATTAACGACCGGATTAATAGCTTTTAAAGTAGCAGTTGGAATTTTCAGATTTTTAAATGCTCATTTTATATCTGGAGCTTTCGGATTATCAGCTAATCTCAAGAAAGCAGGTTCATGGGCAGGTAATATTTTTAATATTAGTAATAATATTAATAAAATTATAAATAAAATGGCTGATATTAAAGAGGGATGCCATGGCGTCTTTTGTGTGTTTATTATTTATAGTTGCAGTGAATTAGGGGTTAGGTTGAGGGATCGATTTAGGGTTCAGGCTAGGCATAGGCATCGATTTAGGGTTGGGCATAGGGATCGATTTAGGCTCAGGTTCAGGTTAGACATAGGGATCAATTTAGGGATACATTCATGAAATTTGATAAAAATGTGGCATTCGTCCTTAAAATTTACCAATAAAATAATCATATAATTATATGACTGGCAATGGTATTAATCCATTACCGTGCCAATAAAATCAATTTATACTAACAATTAACGGTCATGGCAACCAAGATGGAGGCGGTGTAAAAAGAATTCATATCTGCTAAAATGAGGAGGGCAAATGAAGAGAATTGAATGTACAATTTTAACTATTTACTGAAAAAAACGTAACGAAAATGTTCAAATTTAATTTAAAAATTTCCGTGGGTAAATAAATTTTGCAGTGAACGTAGCTACTTTATTGGGTAATTTAGGAGAAAGGATGCCATGGTTTCGGCATGATTTTCCCAATGGCCGCCATCTTGGTTGACACGACCCTTGAAGTGTCAACCAAGATGGCGGCCAAAAAAGTAGTGCAAAATATGCGTTATTAAAAAGGAAGGAGAGGGAGAAAACATATGATCATTCAACTAAAAAATAAAGGGAAAAAATGGAATTAATAGCATTTTTTGGAAAAGTTCGTCCAAAAAATGTAAAAAGAACAAAAAAAATTTGGTAATTTTTGTATAAAGGCGAAAAATTAATTAAAAAAAACAACAACTTAAAATTAGGCCCCCAAAAAAGCATGCAAATGTAATGAAATAAGAGCCATAAATCGGACCCTAAACCTAACCTGAACCCTAAATCTAATCCCTAAACCAAACCTGAACCCTAACCTAACCTGGGTTTTGACCCTAACGGAACCAGGCTTTTGACCCTATCGGAACCTGAGTATTGACCCTATCGTAACCAGGCTTTTGACCCTATCAGAACCAGGGTTTTGACCCTAACGGAACCAGGCTTCTGACCCTATCGGAACCTGAGTATTGACCCTATCGGAACCAGGCTTTTGACTCTATCGGAACCAGGCTTTTGACCCTATCAGAACCAGGGTTTTGACCCTATCGGAACCAGGCTTATGACCCTATCGGAACCTGGATTTTGACCCTATCCTGAAAGAGGCTAGTAAAAACACGTGGAATTTACATACTGGTAAAAAAACTAAGAAAATGAACAAAAACAATAAAAAATTGCCAATAATTGAAAAATAAAGAGATAATGAAAACCCAACTTACATTTTCATGAAATACACTTTTACACACTTTATCATAGGTTCCACCTAAAAGAATATCCAGAAAATGAATAAAATACAAGGTCATGACCACAAGACGTGAAGACCAAATAAATCAAATATGGCGGAAAGAAATATACCTTATAAAGACCCAACCAATCAAAATTATAATTAATCAACCAATTAAAATTTTAATACAAAACATGCCATGGGCGTATGAATACTAATACATAAAAAAAATAATTCTCTAAAAATAAACAAAGGGAAGTGACTCCCACACGTAAACACCCAAAAGACGTTGTTGCATCATATCTTAGTTTTAGCCCTTTATTATATCCCTCTAGATATGCGGCAAGAAAAGTCAACAACCTGTGGTGGCTTCCTTTCCTCGCGTAATTTCTGCCGGTATATGCTCCATTCCCTCAATTAACACTGGTGAGACAAGCCAAAGAAATAACTTGAGAAAAACAACACACATTAACTTCCACTTCCTAAGCTAAGATTAGATGGACATGACATTCTGATATTTCAGTACACCTAACTGATGTTGCTACCAATATTTAGAAGATGCTGATACACATTGATATATGAATATAATTTAAAAACTTGGTTGAACCATAAATTGATTTAGTTTTGTTTATGCACCACCAACATATCTAGACATTTAAATTTACTGGTAACACAATCTGGGACAGCATGCTTCTGTCTTCTTGTTCATGACCTTTTATTTTGCTGTGAAGAACTCAAAATCTTTTCTTTTTTTTTGGACAGCCAAGTAAAAAATACAGTTGAGCTATAACATATTTTTGTTTTGAAGTGGCTATTCGAACCAGGGAACCAGAAGGGAGAGGTTGGGATTAAAAAACTATTTTAAAAAAATATTATTGTTGGGTTTGTAAGACAAAGTCAGGTATCAAATGAAAGATAATTGAATGGACTATATGTTTGTAAACTTACTTATTCAGTTTAACTAAAATAAATTGCCACAAATGACATCCAATTAGCATTTTAAAATGTAATTTTAAGTCTTTTGCTTCATGCTATGCAAATTTAATAAAATAATATTCTAATCAATTACAGTTTAAATTTTTATATATTTTTTAAATTATAATTTCTGCTTTATTTATTTTAGTTTTAGTATTTAATTTGTGTTTGTGCATAGCTATTCTGTGCAAAAACATCATTTTGTGTTTGTTTATTTATACTGCACTATTAGTCATTGAAAGTCTTGCAACAGAGTAATTTTAAGGAACAATGAAAAACTCTAACAAGGATTTACAAGAATGAAAAAACTATATGTGATGAATGAAATTTATTTCCCAATGCTTTTGTTGTGTAAAGTCAATTTACGACAAAGTACTTGACTATTCTTTATCATAACTATAAAATAAAAAATATGCTGTAAAAATAATGAATACTCCTCACTCAATCAATATAATATAAACTACATGTATCAATTATGTAATTTTGCTTTTTGATGTAAACATTTAGATGTATCTAAAATTGTATCCAAGTCAGCTAAAGCGCCCCATGCCCATATGAGTCATATCAATGATATCATGTCAAATACTTCCAAAAGTAATGGCGGTTCCTTCAAGGGTTCCTTCAGCACTCTCATTAGTCATCATTCCAAGCTCCCCCCTACAAAAACCTTTGCTTATCCCCATGATTATGTTATGGTGTATGGTATATTATGTTGAGTTTTTCAAATTCAGTCACAAAATAATTTTGTAATTAAAATATTTCAATTAATTTCCTTTTATTATTTCATATGATCAAAGTAATCACTGGATGCACAGATGGCATTGGCAAAGCTTATGCTGAGCAGGTGTGTAAAAGATATTAATTACTTAATGGGATTTAAGATGTTTCTGTATAACCATTATTTATTGAATAAAAATTTTATATTATTTTATTTTACAAACATTCAATGTAAAAATATAAAAAATGATTTCTATAGCAAGAAGTGCTTGATTGATTAAGTTCTAAGTTCTTTTAATTACGATTATTTTGCCTTTGAAACTAAATCAGTGGGAATGCAATCATAATGTTAAGTACAGTGTTTTGTCAGTGTGACTTGAAATAAAAACAAATAAAAAATTTAAAAATCTGCTTATATATATATAATAATAAAAGTTTCACCATGTGACAAAAAGAACCAATCAGAAAATAAGATCACTTTCTTTTCCAGGGAAAATAGGTACATTACTTAAAATAATTAAATTTGAGGAACAGTGGGTTTTTTTTCTTTGTTTTTTTTTTAAATTTTATTTAGCTTTATAGAGGAATCCATTACAGTTGTCATAAAATTTGATAGTGTGATCTAAGCTATACTAAGCACAGGAAATGTTCCAGCAGACTGGAGAACAGCGCATGTCACTCCAATTTACAAGAAAGGAGAGCATTCCGACCCTGCCAACTATCGTCCGATATCCCTCACTAGCGTCGTCTGCAAACTGTTGGAGCACATAATCGTAAGCTCTGTCATGAAGCATCTTGAAAGCCAAAATATACTCAATGACTGTCAACATGGCTTCCGAGTCAATAGGTCATGTGAGACCCAGCTTCTCGAATTTGTAGAAGACTTGATGACCAATCTGGAGAACCACAAGCAGACTGACGTGCTAGTAATGGACTTCGCAAAAGCATTTGACCGGGTGAATCATAGTTTGCTTCTACACAAACTCCAGATATATGGGATTCAAGGCACCACTAAAACATGGATCTCTAGCTTCCTCAGCCACCGACGCCAAGCAGTAGTGGTGGGCGGTACAAGCTCCTCCTTTGTCAATGTGAAGTCAGGGGTCCCCCAGGGATCAGTCCTGGGCCCCTGTTTGTTCCTAGCATACATTAATGACCTACCGGAGAAACTGACATCACAGGCAAGACTGTTTGCAGATGACACAGCAGTGTATAGGACGATCGCCAACAGATCTGACCAGGACCAGCTACAACAGGATCTCAATCTGTTAGCTGAGTGGGAGATGAGCTGGGACATGGAATTTCACCCTGCCAAGTGCCAGACACTATCAATCTCTAGAAGTTGTACTCCTCTACACTACCAATACGAACTGCACGGCCATATTCTTGAGCAAGTTTCCTCCGTAAAGTACCTGGGTGTTACCATTCAAAGAGAGGTCCGCTGGGACGAGCATATTAACAATGTATGTAACCAAGCAAACAAGACCCTAGGGTTCTTAAGGCGAAATCTAAAGATTGGCAACTCCTGTGTGAAAGAAAGAGCATATAAAGCCTTTATCCGTCCGATTTTAGATTATGCATCTTCAGTCTGGGACCCATTTACCCAGAAGAGCATTGACAGGTTGGAGGCGGTCCAGCGACGAGCAGCACGCTTTGTCCTAAACCGCTACAGGAATACCTCTAGTGTTGGCAGCATGCTAGAAACACTAGGCTGGTCACCATTGGAGAAACGACGACGACAATCCAGGCTCTCCATGATGTACAAGATAAATAATGGGCTGGTCCACTGTTCCAGTATTAAACAGAAACTCGTCCCTCTCCCCCATAGACAGCGACGAGGCCATGACAGGCAATTCAGGCTCATACCAGCAAGAAGCCAGTATAGGAGCTGCTCATTCCTGCCCAAGACAATCAGGGACTGGAACAATCTTTCAAAAGGAACGGTTGAGGCGACAACACTAGACACATTTGTGTCTATTGCCTCAAGCCTTCAAACCCCCAGTGCATGATTCCCTCACAAAGTGGCACTGGAAATCTGTGAAATTTCCTCATCAACACCAGGAACAGAAACATTGAAAATCCCATCTACATGCATAGGAGCCAAAATGATCAATAAATTGATCGTGGGCCCTTAAGATATAGAAGAAGAAGAAGAAGAAGCCTTTATTGGATGAATTTAAAAACTAGTGAATGTTGGCATCTTATGTAGCTGTTAACATGTATTAGGGTCAACTATCTAGTGATGAAAGCTTTTGGTCAACTTATTTTTGTTTAGTTTGTCTCATTTCAAACCATACCGTATATTTTGTTTCCTCATTTATTGATTATTTATAGATTGCTATTTTTTTGTATTTTGTAGGTCACATTTTATTAAAATAAAATCAATATCTGTATTGCAACCATAATAAAGCAATTACTTGTGTTTTTCAAGGTTAATATGTAATAAATAACTAGATATGAGCAATGTACTTGCTGCTCTACTTTTTCATACGGGGTATCCGTCATCATTAATAGTTATTGCCCTTTGTCTTAAATTTTATAAAATTTCTGTTGCAGCTTGCAGCCAAAGGCCTTAATGTTGTTTTGATCAGTAGAACCTTGTCTAAACTGAGCGAAATGGCTAAAGAAGTTGGTGAGTTTAGTTTGTGGCTGTTACACTCAAAACAACAACAATCGGGGTCAGATTTCCTTATATGCTTAGTACCTTTAAGCCAAGGGGCTCTAAACATCTAAGTGGGCCTCAAAATTTTGGAAGCCACATTTTATATATTTATTTACTATCTTAAAAAAATTATTGAATATAAATTTTAAATCATACAAATTCAAATAATATCATTTTTAATCAAATAATCACACATTATTTAACTTAATTGTAATAAAGACATTTCAGGAATGAAGCCAATGATTCAATGATGTTTTTAAGAAAATGTAATGTATGTTAAAGTTATTGGAACAATTTTGGTCATGTGACTTGGGTTGTTTTCAATATAGGGAGCAAATGTATTCCAACTTCCAAAAGAAAAATTCAGTTTAAAAGTTGTATTCCTTTAGTAAATTCATTTGACTCTATTTCATAAGAAGAGCTGCTATGTGCACTGACATTATAACAACTTTTCTTTTCTTGCTAACGTGACAGCCTAGAAGCAAGACATTTAGAAGGGTGTTTAACTTTTGAAGGAAACATCCTGGAGATTTTGATCTTGAACTGATAGATGAATGAATTTTTCTCTTTCGTTATTATGTTAAACAAAACCATGGCACACAGAAGAGCTCATTCTGTTATATCAAAAACTTATTCAAATTGCTGTGGAACCCAATTATGTCGCCGGCCTCTGGCTTTGCCAAAAAGCATAGAGATAACCGATGATCGAGATAAACGAAAACTAATAAGGCGGCAATATTCACGTGCTTGAAATTTCTTTACACGATGTGCGTTTATAAATGAGAATGTACTTGCACATAGTTTTGGAGTTGTTTTTTTTTACAGAACAGCATTACCGCGATTTGTTTGATGAAGCGATCAGCATGCTATAAAAATGTACTTACATGTTTGTTAACAACACAATGCTTATGTGGGTAAGCACTTTTCCAGATAATCCCGGAATTCCAAATTTGTGAGGCTAAATATTTTTCAGCTCCGGAATCGCTAGTTTTATTTTCTCTTGCTCCGGATTCACCAGTTCAGTTTATTCAAATAGGGATTCTGGGTTTTAAAACAAAATCAACGTGTATGAACGCATGAAAGCTTATTAAGGGACAAGCGGGTTCACTATAAATAGAAAAGGTACTGCGACCTCTCTCTTTTATTTGCACGCATCTCACTCCTTGCTTCTTGCTGTGTCAAGTTAATAGCATAGATAATGATATTAACATTTCATTTTAATTACTGCAGTTTGAAGTAGGCACGTTTCTGTTGTATGTAATTTTTAAAAGCCGGTGATTGGTCATGGGGATTGAGATAACCGAGATTAAGTGGCAAATTGGCCTTTTGGTGCTCGAGATATCAGGGTTCGGGTTGACATAATAATAATAGAATAGACATAACTGAGGAAAAAATGCTAAGGTAGAGAGAAACTTTGGTGGTTCCATTTCAAAAACGTCGACATAACATGGTTGGCAAGTTAACCGAGATTGAGATAAGTGTGTTCGACTGTATATGCAAGGAAAAATCCAGATGCCCTTCCCTAATTTGGAAATAACCTTAATGACTATTTCTTTGTTTCATGGTCCCTAGCTGATCAATAGAGAGGTCTTTTTCAGAACAAAAAATTATTTTTAATAGAATTCAGGAAAAGAATGTCTGAGGGGTTATCCGCACTGAGCATTTTCAGCATTTAAAGTGATAAATTAAGAAAAACTGATTTCAATGGCCTTTGGATGATCATACTATGAGCAAGGATAAAAGAGGTCATTTTAGTCTTAATTTCATCATTTCTTTTTGTTTATTTATTAAGATATATTATAAAATAGATCTTTTTTACTTTTTTAATTTTGGTTGGAAAAGTGGGATGGTAATTGCAGGTGGCCTCAACATTTGAATAGCCTAGCACCTCTTGTTAGCTAAATCTGGCCCTGAAAGCAATATTAGCTGACCAATTGTTAGATTCTTGATATATTCCTTTGTTGCATATCGTATATTTAAATTGTTAAATGAATACAGCTGTTTTGTGCTTCAACCTACGAGTTGGTGACATTATTTATAATTTCTACAATTAATCTGATACCATTATTTGTCAAATGCACTTGTAATTTATAATTTTTAGGATATATTAGGTGACTGTATGACTGAATAATTGTAGCAATAAAGCTAGGTACAGAAAAAGTAGTTGAAGGCATTAAATGGGAGTTGGTGTAACAATAAACATTAAGTTAAGTGGTTTAACACAACATCTGCTGTGTATTTATTTTGACCAAAAGCAAAAAATCTTTACCTAGACACAATCACATGTTCCTGAATATAAAATTTTCTGAGGCGCAATAATTATTTACTGAAGCATCAAAAATGTTGTTTTGAAACAATTTTTCAGAAGAGAGGTTCAAAGTAAAGACACTTGTTATTTCTGCTGACTTCACTCAAGTAGACATTTATGATGATATAAAAGCCAAACTTGCCAACCTCGACATCGGAGTCCTGGTCAACAATGTGGGAATGTCTTATGATCATCCTGAGTATTTCGGAGAGGTGAACCAACCAGAGGTAACCAGTGTCTTCAGTTCTTTATAGAAATTTAAATAAAATAGAGTAAATAATCACAGCTTTTAGGTAGTGGATGTGTCAGGTATAGAAGTGTAGTACAGGCCAGGGTGATGATGTTGGTTTTTTTTTTACAAGGTCAACGCCCTGGTTTCAATCTATATGTAATAATAATTGAATGTGTCTCTACCCTAGCTCCTGTAAACAACAACTTGTATGATCTGTCCACATATAAAAACTACAATACATAGACAATACAGGATGGGTGTGGCAAACACTCAGCCAAAAGATCGACCTGGTTAAGATCTGTCCTGTCACTCTACATCTAATAATAATCTTATATCTAATCGACATAGCTTGAAGGATGGCTAACATTTAACCCCTGCTATCACTCACAACTGTATATATTTCACCACTTCTTTGTTCATACCGATTATCAACCAATCAGATTCAATTTCATGGCTTGTATCTAAGTTCACTATTTATTCCTGTGCTGCATGACTCTAAAATAAGCAGAGTCGTTCTAATACCTTGACAACAGCCTTCTCTTTAATTATTAAAAAATCTTTTTTTCTTTTCTAATGCACTTTAACACCTCTACATACTTTTTTTTTAAAACTTTGTGCCCATTTGATGGATTACTTCATATTGACAAGATCTTGGGCTTGAAATAAATTAGTTAAGCTGAATCTTCTTGAAACTTTGAACTGATCTGAACTGATTAACATATTTCTGTAAGGGGTCGTTCGCACAATGTGTCACTCTGAAAGGGGACGGTGAAAGTAAAAAAATTTGTGATGCCACAAATTTTTTTTTTTTAAATCTAAAATTTTCAAATTTTGAAATTTCTTTATTCAATCAGTATAAATACATTAGAGGTCGAAATTGCCTCAGATATAATAAGTGCCATGAAACTGAGTAGCACACACCTTCTGCGCATATTGAAACATGACGCCAAACTGTTTTTGCCAATTTATATTCTGCTCTGGGAGGACTTTCTGTTTTACGTCACAGTTTTCTTATAATACTACATCTTAACCTTTATGATTATGGGGGGGGGGGGGGGTTAAAATATTTGCACTATTCGTAGCTAACACTTTTTTGCCAATTTTTTTTTTTTTAAAAATTCAGCGAACACACTGTACTACGCTGACACACAACTCGGTACCATTGTAAGCATGGATCTCCNGAGGAAGACAAAGAAAAAGATGGGAGGATAACATCAAAGAGTGGACAGGACTAACACTGGGCGATGCTGTGCGCAGTGCAGAAGACAGAGACGAATGGAGGAGGATAGTTCACATGTCATCTGTGGCGCCTCAACGGTCCAAGGACTAAGGGACATGATGATGATGGAGTGGGATCTGAAATGGTCATTTTTGCATGACGTAATTTACTAATGACCCCTAACTTGTAACGGGAAAAAATATTTGACATAATCATTTTATAATTTCTATTTCTTTTCTACCTGCATTTGTAAAACAATTTTCACAATATGATGGTGCCATGATCAAATTTCACCTAAATGTTTCCTATTTTTTAATTTCATGTGACAATGAAGAAATGCAGTAACATGTTTTATTTTTTTGAATGAACCTTTTAATTTCAACAAACTGACAATACAAAAATTAACTAATGCAGGGTAAAAAAATGTTGTACAAGAGATTTCAATTCAAAAGTACATTTTCTCAGTTAAGGCGATTTAAAATATTTTTCTCCCGAGTATCTTATCCTACTGGTACCCTTACTAAGCAACAAAACTTTCCCAGTGTTTCCCTAGGTTTGTAGAGACATATCACAATTGAGCAATGCTTATGATACTAATGTAGTTAACAAAATTTACGCTATAAATCTGTCATACATCATTTAAATAATGGGCACCATAGTCTAGAGATATTGATCTAAACATTTGGTGGGTTCTCAACGTGATGTGCAGTTGGAAGGTAAAATTTTCATTTTTAACAAATATATTGACACTTTACCTCAGTATAGCCATGAGTATTATTGTGGTATTTTTAAAGAAAATTGATCATGAAAAATGTAAATATAGAAGATATTTAATAATAACTCCTTAAAAAGAGCATTAAGTACAAAGTAAGAAGTGTTCTCTATTTAGGGTGTTTGATATTAATTTTATTAATTGAAAAAAAATGAGTTACCATATATATAGAGATAAAAAGTATGATGAAAAATGATAAAAAGTAAATTAATGCTGATACTGATATGTCTGTGAACATTCTCAACATAACAAGTGATTTCCAGGGTTGATTTGTGTATAACATGATATTGCAGAGGTAGGAAATGAGAGGTCAGCTAGAAAGGAAAAACGTTTTCACAACATCACCTTTTTTTTAGAAGAATTATCATACAAATCAGATAAATTGTTATTTACTATTTTAATAGGCGTCATAACAACAATAGCTAATACCAGAAATGCGTCATAGTATCTAATTGATTACATGAAACAGGACAATAGCTAACAACACAACTGTTCTAAATACATCAAGCAAAGGAGCCAGACACTGTACTCAATGCCAGCACATCTCAACATAACACTGATCAGGTCAGAGTTTACAATCTCAAATTGTACATGGTATAAACATGAGCCAAGGTTGAACATAAAACAGTTTTGATAGGCCGGGCAGTGTTGTTCTTGTGATGTAGACTTGGAGATTGGCAATAATCTGGGTCATATTCGATCAGGGCTATAGTTTCAAGTTGTCCAGGCAGTGGCACAAAGACTCCTTCAAACTCCTTGAAACCCAAGGGAAACACATAAGACTTCTTGTATGCCAAGCTTTTATTTACGTAATGTGTAATTGCCCATATATAATAATCATCTTCCATGTAAAAGAATATATCGATGAAAGGAAATTTTGAGTTTTTCCTAAAGAACTTCCAGTGCATGTTAGGATTTACTAACAGCTCATAGCCATCAATACAAGACAAGGTGTCCCTTACATGCCTCCATATGGTACCGTTGACTGATATATCAATGTCATCATCCCATGGTATCATCCCACGGTGGCGATAAGCTCCAAGCAGGGATCCATGCACCAGGAAAAAACTGATGTTTGCTTTAGTGAGAATATCCGCCAGCTCTACATACAAAGAGATGAGATCGCAGCGTTCTGGTGGGGTAGTCATTGGTAGGAAGGGGTTGTCAGGGCTGAAGTTACCTATCCCCTCATATTTTTTATGTTGTGTGGACAGGCATTTCTTCATATCAAACAATGCTGTTGGCTTTGGTGTCTTTGGTCTTTCATTAATGCATTCAAATTTTGACACATTGACGGGTGCTTCTGTGAGGAACAGGATTTTCAAGACTTGCAGTGTACCAATGGGCACCCAGGATTTGGGCCAGATTGGTTTTAATATGAGATTTCTTGTTTGTGGCACAAATAGAGCAGAAAATATAACGAATGAAAGAATGAATACACTTGATTTCCTCAGTCTAAACATCCACCCCAACCTCTGATGTTGTCTGATTTTTCTATACATGTTTGGTGCCACAAGTTGAGATTCAGCCCTCTTAGTTCATGTCTTTATATCACCATGGCAACTTTCTTGTCAATCTGTTGGAGAGAAAGTGTTAAAAGGCATATTTTAAAGCAATCTATTTCAAATTTGATTGGTTCTTTTTTTTCCTTCTAGATCTCAAAGCTGTTGGTGTCAAGGCTTTATCATTTCATCCTAAATTGCATGTGCTCTTAATTTCATTTTTAGTTTTAAAATATAATATTGCATCTTATAAGAATTTGTCCTCTATTCCAGTTTGTCCAAAATATAATCCACATGAACTGCACATCAGTAGCGAAGGTAAATAAAATAATTTATGAAACTATGTTATTATGTAGATCATGTTTTCATGAGAATTGTTAATTTGTAAAGGTTGAATAGTTTTAATTTCAACAAACGCTAATTGTAATATTTGGAAAATTTCACTCATGCATTTTTTCATCCACTGTTCATTTAATGTTCATTTTTGTCATATTTATATCATTAGCTCAATGTTTATTTTATGCCTTGATATACTAATGTATGGCTCTTTGTCTAACAGGCAATAATAATACATTTTATATCTTTAAGATGACTGAAATTGTTTTACCAGAAATGACCAAAAAAGGGTGTGGTTACATCATCAACATTGGATCAAGTGCTGGCTCTAACCCCACCCCCTTTCTCACAATTTATTCAGCTACAAAGGTAATTTTTTTGCTAGTTGTATACCAGTACATGTTTTCATAAAAATTCTGATTCATGGGTTCAAAATTTTATATATATATTTTTTTTTTAAATTTCAAGATTGGCACAAATGATTTAAAACATTTCATTTCCAATTTATATTTCAAGATTTCTGAAAATTATCGTTATCAGTAGTGTACAGATGATTTAAACTGCATCTGATTTAAATAAACTGAGACGGAATGAAAAGCTAAAATACATTATTTTTCATTATTATTAATGTTGTTCTTAGGCGTTTGTTGATACCTTCAGTCAAGGTTTGCAACATGAATACAGCAGCAGAGGCATCACCATTCAGGTAAGGTTAACCCTATAACTGCCAAGAAAAAAATTCTTTAGTGTTAAGCCATTTTAGCAATTTCATATGCTTGTCAAAAAGGACAAAAATCCCAGACTAAACGAATTCAGAGTCCTTTACAAGCAGGCTTTTTCTGAAAGTACATTGGACAAGGTATCTTATAGAATGAAAATAATTTTTTTTTAAATATTATGTATGTTAATATTGACCTTAACAGAGTGAATAAAATTTTACTACTCATCTTTTGAATTCAACCCACCCTAAATACTCCGCAAATTGTTCAAGTTCAAACTATTATAAAATAAGTTTTTAATAAACTAGAGAAGCAATATTCTTTCAGAAAATGATAATTTATAGTTATCATTTATAGACATATGGAAAATATTTGTGAATTCTTTCATTCACTACCTTCAACTTTCTGTCAAACAAAATATAAGGGAGAATGCACGAAATGAGTTCAAAAATTCCTTTTCATTTGAAGTCATGAAATCCATTTTTTTTTGGTTGTAATTAATAGTCCAGAACATATACAAACATAAATATTTTTGGGATCAAATCTGTGTCATTTTCTGTTCGATTTCCACCCTTTCCCAAACGAAATTTTCAGTAACAATATGGCTAAGCTTAGGGATGACATCGTCAAGATCTGATTCTTCTCTCAACATCACAGCTAGAGCTAATGCTGTCATTTCTAGCATGTGGAATATCTCTGATATCTTTGCTTTCATTTTAATATAATTTAAATAATAATAAAGAAATTTTGTGTTACCTGGTAATTTTGGAATCCCAAAGGGGGACCCTCTCCGGCATCAGACATGGCCGTGAAAAAATTTGGGAAAATTTCACACCCCTTTAATCACAAAAAAATCCCTGATAAAATTGTGTAAACACACTGATGGTAACAGAAATAGGAAGCACATTCTTTTGCTTAGACTTAGAGTGATTTCCCCTTAAACAATATTAATTAAATAAATTAGCATTTTTAATGACGATTTTACTGACGGCCAATTACTGCACTCAATAATTTTATTATCAAAATATAAAATGAAATTCTATTACTGTAAAATTACATTCAAACTTCATGCTGTTTTGCTACATAACAAGGTTAAGAATGGTGAACTCTTATGCAAATAAGTTACAGGATTATAATTTTGGGTGTATGGTATAATAGTAGTTTGGGCATATTCTGGATGTCCATAGTTTTCCACTTTTTACAACGCTTTTCACATCCAGCAGACAATGATTTTAAAAAAAACAACTTGAATACCATATGTACTCGTTCAGTTTATCATGTCACTTTTTTTAGAAACATTTCAAGCGTATAAGTAAGTACTATATTAGTAGGATGATCGACTTATGAGCAGGTCATTGGAGATTTTAAAATAAATTTTTCCATGTACATTGATTCTATTATAAAAAACAATTAAAAAAACGTAATTAATAGAAGTCAAAATAAAGCTGTACACCATAATGGCCCTCATGCAAAAAATTTAGTCATATGTTTTGGCCTCATTTTGTGACTGCCGTACTTAGAATATCAAAGCATCTACATTGAATAATGAAACTGTTTTGTTATTGTTGATCGCAAAACTCCTATTTTTGTAAATGTTCTGTATGATTACCGCATATACCAGTAGACACGCATAGCAAGTATCTGTGTTTATAATACTGCATGGTTATTAGCTTTTAAGTTATTAATTAGTTTTTAAAGTTCAGTTGTTTTTTTTAATACATTTTTTTCTTTAGTACTGTATTCCTTCTACTGGCATATTATTTTTTGGGGTCGGCTTATGAGCGGGTCACACACTTTTCAGTCTTTTCTTTTTCCAATCAGAACTAAGGGGGTCGGCATATGAACAAACTGGCTTGTGAATGAGTAAATATATTTATAATATTTATGTGTTTTATTAAATGATTAAGTATTTTTAAATTATAGAATCTCTAGAACATGAAGCTAATTTATAGAAACATGAATGTCTATGTAAAGTTCAAGGTATATATTCAACTAATAAAGGAGACAAAAAAGAAAATATATCGGTTATAGGACTAGTTCAGTTAAAAAGTTTCATCTCGGTTTTGACTGTAATTATTCATTTATGTTTCACAGACTTAAATTTGCTAAGTCAATGTCTAATCCCAATGTGAATGATTGCATTTTTAAATAGTCCAGCCAGACATTGTGTTCATAAATAAAATTATATAAGACCTTTAAAGTTAGATAAGGTATTGTACAATAAAATTCCTAGTTCAGGGCTGTTTCAACCTAGGTTTTGTTATTTTTTTTAATGTGTGGTTTAAAATTTTTCTAGAAAGCAAATTATTACTTTTAACACAAGTTTAAAAAAATATTTAAAGCGACATCCTATTTTTCAAGATGTTTCAATTATCAAGGGCACATCCATAAATAACGACAGACAAATTTTGCCCATTTTTTGACCCCCCTCCCCCATTGTCACAAAAAAATGGACCCCCCCCCCCCTTCTCACCCCCAAATAAGTCACAAATCTCTGCAAATCACCTCACCCCCCCCCCCTTCTCACCCCCAAAAAAGTCACAAATCCCAGCAAAACACCTCCTATGGATATCAAATTTCTGCACCTGCGTACATTGGTTCTTAACTAGTAAAAGCCGCCCCCCCCCCCCTGAGGTGCAGAAGACCAAGAAAAATGTATTTGCTGCTATTGTTAGTTTTTATGTAATTTGATTAGCAGCAGTAAATTTTTTCTGGTTAATTTTGTTTTTGCATTACTTGTATTTGGTAATTGTTTTTCACTGTTAAAAGAAAGTTAGTTAAAGAAATAAAACTATGATAACTAATTTATTCAATTATTTTCAGAATTAACATTTTATTACAATATAATTTATAGGTTTTGGGGAGGGGGCTGTTTAAAGTGATGGAAAAAGGCTAAGAATCCTTGCCCTAGAGTATTTTCTAAGATCCCCCCCCCCCCCCCTCCCCCCCAACTTTTTTTTTTAGTTCCATCCCACTTCACTTGGTAGTTGTAATTCTATGACTCCCGTCTCCACATTTGGGCATAAATATATATTCTCCGAGCTGTCAAAGTCACTACACCCATATTCTCCTCCTCCGTGGCATCCGGTAACTTGATCAGATGCCACTTTTCGGACTTGCATACCTCTACTGATTCTCTCAGTGATCGTAGTTTAGAAGTAAAATAATTATAATTGTTATATCAACGAATAATGTTTAAAATATTTATAATTTAGTGTTATTAAGTGCATTTTTTAGTATACTGTTCTGCTTTTCATAAAAATGGGACTTTTTTCGCATAACAGATTTCAATGTTTGATACAGTGCTTGAGGCAAACTATTGTATATCTCAAATTTGTCGTTGACATTTGAACATCATCTTGTAAGATGAAGTAGCTTCTTATATGCACACCAGTGGCTAAAGAATCCACTTATATATGTGTCTGCTGAACTTCTAGCTAGTGAAATTTGAAGTAACATTCAATTAACACTCACCTGTTATTCAGAAGGGTACCAGTCAGTGTGTCTGTCTTGCACACAATTAAGCACCAACAAGTGCAGTAAAGTCTATTGTAGGAAAAAATCAAATATATTTCTTAAATTTATATTATTGTTTTAATTTTGAATGTTTTACAATGGGGTTTGCTCAAAATTTAACAACTTGTTTACACTATCAAACTGACTACAGCACACTGTGCTTCATCATCTGTGAAGAGCAATTCATAGATGATGATAAAATTCTGACTTGGCCTTTGCCTTAGCATAGAGGTGATTTCATTTGAACAGCTTGCCATCAGATGTGGTCGAGCTATAACTCCATAGATGAACCCCTTAAATGCCTACTCAAGGAGAAGAAAATGGCAAAATGCATGTGTGGAAGAACACAACCATGCACTAGCCAGGGTAGGTCTTCAATTTTCCACATGTCTTCATGGAGCCAGAACTAGAGAACAGTCAGCAGTTGTGGTAGATAGCACATTTTAATCAAAGAGCATGAAAAATCTGCTTCAGTTGACAAGTGAAATGCCTTGACATTGACAGGTCTATAAAGGCAATGAATCAGAGGCATATGCTTGCCACAAGATTCACTCTCAGGATATGCATTAAATAAATATGTAGTTTAGGCCTATTGAGTATTGATAGCTAAATAGGAACAAAAGAAGCTTAGAATGCCCCAGCAATAAATAATTTTTCTTAGATTATTTAGATGAATTTTGAAAACCACTGCTCTACTTACTTCAGCCTACTAGGTATTAGGTTTAAACTTAATGTAAATGAATAAATTCTATGTAAAATATGTGTAATGTGTAGGCTTAGGCTTAAGCTTAAAAGTTTAAGCCTATTTCAATCTTGGCCAATCCAGAGAACCCAGTCCCTACAGCCTAGACTACTACTAGAAGAAGAAGGCACTCTATAATTAATAAATTTCAAACCAATCCATTTGCCTTTATTTAACACTTCATTGCTAAACACTCACTGACTCTAATCACAGACCATCAACTATCAATTAGTGACAAAGTCAAAGCTTATCATTAGCGTTAGGGCATATATAATATGTCATATATGATATATAATTGTATTAATATTAAAGTATGAGTATGATGATACGTTATAAATATGTAAAATAAGCATTACTATTTAGTACTAAACTAACTACTTTTATTATAAAATTTGAAACTGTTGTCGATGACTATGAAAATATCAAAGTCAAAGTTTTGACCATAAATTAAAATTGCTGCATTATTAAATTATTTTCACTCACATTGGTCGCTATTATGTCAAGTCACTCAAACTCAAGTGGCACTCAAATCTGCACCACCTCTACAGCTGTGCGACTAAAATGATAAGGCCATCATAAGGCCTAACCGCCCAAGTCTAGTGCAGGGGCCTGGATAGGACGGGTTACTACACTCGAGTGTACTTGTCACTTAATTCTTAATTTAATCTTGATTTAGTTTTTTTAAACCCTGCCTTTCTTCGTCTTCGATCATCCATAAAAAATTCAGATCCATTGATGAATTGTATTGTAAAGTTGAGAAGTCATATTCGATGAAGCTCAATTTATCCTTTGCTAGCTCTTACACACAAGCGAATGTATTATTTTTAGCAAAATCTCAGTATATCTGAATCTATGCGGCTTATCTAATTAATATGCGTGTCTTCATCCCACCGACAGTGGGAGATGACAATTTTAATATTTATTTCCTTGCTTATTGTTTTTAAGAGTAACCTCCCTTGTAAATGTGAGCTCTTTTATTTGGCTTATTGGTCTCAAGAATGCCAAGTTGACAGTAAAATTAATTAAGAGAAGGGAGAAGCAATAGACCCTATGCGGAAATTAATTTTCATGCTCATGCATTTTTTTTCAGTTGATTTTCGTTGTTTTCTTCTTTTTTTTAATTATTATTAGATTTATTTTAATTTTTTTTTTATTTGTAGGCAACTTGCTTAGTCATGGCATGTTATGTAAGCCGCTGCCTTTTAGTTTTAATTCTTTAATTTAAGTTTTTTTAATGTTGGAGGCGCGTTCCCATTCCCATCGTACAGAGTTTATGTAATATTGACATACACAGCAACATTAGGTTGTTTTGTTTTTTTTTTTTTTTTTTTTTTTTTTTTTTTTTTTTTTTTTTTTTTTTTTTTTTTTTTTTTTTTTTTTTTTTTTTTTTTTTTTTTTTTTTTTTTTTTTTTTTTTTTTTGGGGGGTGGGGGGGGGGGGTGTAACTTTCAATCAAATGAATGAGTTATTCTCCATATGAAAAAAAAGCTAACATTTTGATGTCCCCCTCGGTCCTCTCCCTTCCAATAAAAACTATTTTGACGCCCTTTTTGCCACTTTCCCCATTATCGCACCGCATAGCAAGGAACTGCAATTCCCATTTGACGTAATAAAAGAATAGATCTAACTCACTTTTTTCACAAAGTCTTTGATAAGCCGATAAATAAATGATAATGCCATAATGCAGTAATTAATTTTAATTAACCTTAAGCCTCAAGTCAAGTAGTCTTTGTTAACTTTGTTTTTTAATTTAACCATCTTAGGACGGAGCCTTTTCGGGGTGTTGTGCCAAAAAGACGGAGCACTTTTTACGAGCTCGGCACTTGCATTGCAAAAAAGTTTATAAAAAATATACTATTTCCTTAATATATGTAAAACTGTTTATATTCTTGTAGGAAATTGAATGAACTAATACAATCTTTATGAATCAAACTGAAATATCAACATTTATGCAAATGAGCTACCCTGATTTGCATAATTTATGCATGTAATTTTTTTGTTAAACCTATAATAAACATGACTTACTTGTATCAGTTGTGTGAATTTTTTCATGAATGAAGTCTCAATAAGTCCTAATACTTATGTTTTTGGGAAACAAGGCCCATGGAGGCCCTTTAGATACATCAGGCACATAATTCTACTCCTTTTCCATCCCCCCACCCTATTTTTATGTTGTTACAGACACACTGTAACAGGCCCCCATATATGACCTAGCGACCTCCTCTTTCGCTGGATGTTACTTGAGAAAGTTGTCTGCATATCTATTGGTCTCTCTTATAAACATTTGAGTGATATTTAGTGTAAAAAATAGCATAAAGTACTCAAATGGGATGCTTATGCCTTATTTATAGGACCTATTTTGTCTAAAAATTCAGAGGGTCATCCCTGTCTAGTTGAGGACCCCTAATACTAGTAATACTAATCCAAGAATTCATAACATTAGCATTACCCTCAATTTGAAAGTCTTCATTAATTTCCTGGTTGTTTTCATCAGTTTCAGTGTCAAATTCACTGCTAGAACATCAAAATTACTAAGCACAGTTTGATCAGAGTCACTGTCAGACATGTTCGAATTTCACGATATAGCTATACTCACACAAAAAAATTCCTGCACACAAATAGATCTAGTTCACCTTCAACGAACGGCGGCATTACAATGCCGGGATGTGCAGGAATGCGTAAGAATATATTTGATTTGCCGGTACAACGCCAAGCCAGCTAATCCTGAGGCTCGATTTATCGGGCCGATTGTTCGGACTCATGTCTTTCTCGCTAGTCAACCTTGTGGTGATAGATCGGCCCTTACGTCCCAAGAGGGTTAAGTTACATTTACACTCGTCAAAGTCATAGTAATTCATAGTCATAATACTAAAGGCCTACAGGCAGTTACATTTACACTCATCATGTTGTTGTTTGTCCGTCGATGTCGACAAGGACCATCGAGTCATCCGGTTAGGGAGAGGGTGGGTTACGGTGAGCTCGTAGGTGGTTTGCTAGACCGATCCGTGCTCAGAGTAATCACTGGCACCGCGGGGAGGGGATAGTTGCTGCAGACGGTGACCTAGTGTTGCTCTTTCGGGCAAGCCTGCGTGTCTCAGCTGTTGTTATTCTATTAGCTTCATGGCATTTAGCCCCTTTCTAAACAGCTGCTCTCCACCTGGCTCTGTCCTGAGCTGTCTGCACCCATTGAGTAGGGTTGATGCTGAAGGCCTTTAGTGCCACTTTCAATGAGTCTTTGTAACGCTCATCATAGCCATACTATAGGCCTACGGGGAAAATGTGAATAGACTGATATAAACTATTTTTTATTTATTATAAAATAAGGTTCTACACTTTTTATCAAAAACTCAAGTAAGGACTATGCTATTAATACTAAGATAAAACATTGTATGATCTGGGGATGGAAAAAGTTGAAGAACTTGCTCTGAACAAAAAGGGGCACAGTGATAAACTTGCTGAAATCTATTTGAAATTGTACTTTCTTATAGTAAAATCAATACTGCAATAGTAAGATTAAGTGGCAAATGAATTCAATTCAACATTGAAAAAAAGATGAAATTCCACAATTATTCTGAAGAGTTCTTTTGTAGCATAATAGTGATGATGTGTATAACAACACATTGTTGACACATACCAAAGAAAGTGATAGTAATTGTATCGGTAATGCATTACCGGATGACATTGCATTGTTCTAATTTTTCTTTTTAAAGACTTTCACTTTCATTCAACTCGCATTTCCATCTTGTTTGTTTGTCCAGTGTAACTGTCGCTTAGTTGATTCATTCTTCCTCCTGCTGATCTGTAAGGTCGCATCTTATTTCAAATAAAAGAGTAAGCAAAAAGAAATTTATTTAAGTTTCTTCTAAATTTGATTAGAATCTGACTTCATAGAGTGCCTTACTACCCTTCTGCACATACTTTCTTTGCACAATGAATTTTAATAAAAATTATTTTCTACTTTTTAGTGTGTTTAAACCAGTCTTAAAAAGAGTTGTTTTTTTTAATAAGTTTTTTTAATAAGTTTTTTAAATAAGTTTTTTTAAATATTTCTTTTTACATTCCCTTCTATAGTCTGGGCAGACCACCCCATCCCTCTTCTCCATTACTTTTCATTATTTTTTTCACCACTGGTCTATGATAAATTATTACCGGTTTTTAAATCATTTTAAATAATATGGATTGACTTCAGTTTGCAGTATTTTCCTCACAAATTAGTATTTATAATTTATTAAATTAGTAAACTATAGTCTGGACAGACCACCCCATCCCTCTTCTCCACTACTTTTCATTCTTTTTCTCAACACTGGTCTACGATAAATTATCATTTAAATTATTTTAAATAATATGGATTGACTTCAGTTTGCAGTATTTTCCTCTCAAATTAGTATTTTAATGAATAAACTAGCATTGTTTCACGGAGATACAACACTAACAATTTGTATTGTCTTTAAAAAATTTATTTTAATGTCCCATAGATACAAAAGTAGTTGCACTTCATAAAAAAATCTTACTTCCATTAAGTTTAAAGCAGAAGTGGCCAGGTCCTATGCGTCCCGCCACGTCAAATACTTGGTTAACTGATTTATCACAAATAAACATATTCCTTTGATTGGCAAAGAAATTGATTTTTTAACGTTTAGGGAAAGAACAGATAAAATGTCACTTTGGTTTAGCTCTGTTTCTTTTTATTTAGCATTTCATTGTGAGCATTAAGAATAGATAAACTTTTCTAGACACCATTTAGTGAGTGTTCATTTTAATATAAGTTGTAATGACCTGTGCCCACAAATGGTTTTATTGATATCAAAGTGGCCCTTCGAAGCCTTTTGGGTTGGCCAAACCCCTGGTTTAAAGTATTTTTGTAAATAAATCGATATTGCATACTTTGAAATTAAATTAAATAAGTTAAAATTGATTTATTTATTGTTGTAATGTAATGTAAGCTACTGTAAGTTAAGATTTCAAAAAATATTTTTCATCATAACTCATTCAGATTGTGGTACCATACTTTGTAGTTAGCAAACTAAGCAAGTTTCGTAGAGCTTCAATGTTTGTGCCATCTCCAACATCATTTGTGAAAAATGCTCTCAACACAGTTGGTGTGCAGCCTCGCACCACTGGCTACTGGGCTCACGAAATTCAGGTAATTATATCGGGGCCATCCATTTTATTATTTTATGCACCGGGGTGGGGGGATTTTGGAGATTTTCCATATGTGCGTCTATCAGTGTTGCAATAATTATACTAAAATTCTGACAGTCTATGAGCAAGTTATTTATCTGACAGTTAAAAATAGCCTATTTATCTCCTAAAAATCTGTGAAATCCACGATTTCTAATTTCTATGGCTAAGATAATATCACTGCAACCTTTCATAATTATTGTCATACTGTCGCTGGTGTTTTTACAAGTAAATTTTCTATACATCAATCTAGTTACAGTAATATTTAGTCCACTTTTTGCATGTGGATGGTTTGGTAGGTGCATGTGACTTAATATTTTCTTTGGCTATTCCAGTGTTTCTTCAAAAAATGTTAAATTCTCTGTGCTCTTGTCAAATATAGTTTAACAACTACACAAAAGTTTTTAAATCAAAGGGCCTGGTAAAAATGAATAAAGCACCTATGTAGGTCATTATGAGCAATCCCCTCACAATTTTAGGAGCTTGTGCAAACAGTAATTAAGTGAGTTATATTTTTGCACCAGGGCGGCTAGATGTCTTGTCCTGGTGTTTGGTCCCATTGGATTGAAATTGGAAATAAAATTATGAAAATTGTGTAATTATTTCGCTCCACCACGTGAAAGTGATGTGGCACACTTTTTGCAAACACTGGGCTATGCCACACAGACAACGCAGAAAACAGTGACACATTTTTATATTTTTCTCTAAATGTATATGTTTTTTATTTGAGGGTGGATTGACGGCTTACTTTTAAATACACAGTAGGGGTGTGGGCTCCAAAAGTATGCATGCAGCAGGGGGATTAATGGGGATTGAAATTTTCCCTTCTTAGATTTTGATTCAAATCAAGATTGAAGAACTAGTATTGTAGCAATTTTGGAGCTTTAAATGTCAGGTTTCCCACAGAATAATAAATACGGTGGGCTTGTGCTAGACCAGGCTGGGCTTGAAGTGTATACAATATTTAGGGGGAGGGGTGGTTGTATAATTAAAAAGCAGTTCACATTTCAATTGCTTTTGCAGAGGGAAAAAAAAAACAAATTTAAGTTTAAGTTGGTCACTTAACCATGTATAATCCTCTGCATAATCTATTTTTGCTCATTTCATTAATAAATCTACATCATAAATTTTGCTGCCAATATAATCAGCTTATTTAATGTTTGTATCTATGATAAGAGAGTTTGTTTTTTTTCTTTTTCAGGATTTTTACATGGGATTTATTCCTACATATTTTGCCAAAAACTTTCTCATGAAAGCTAGACAGCAGGCTTTGAAAAGAAAAGCTGGTGCATCTAAAAGCCAGTAACTAAAAATTTTTATTTCTAATTGGTTTCTTCATTCATTGTTTCATAACTAGACATTGAATTTCACAGCTTTGAAACAAGAGAAAGAATCTTTTAATATGTTGCTAGAGCTTTTGTTAGATTTTTATTTCAATAAGTGTTGTTGTTGTTTTTTAGTGCTGTTGTGCTGGTTTTTTTACATTCAGATTAAAGCAAAAGTATGTTTTTACTTTTTGTTCAGTTTTTATTTCTCCTGTTGTTACTATATGTGAGCTTTAGGGAGTTAAATGAAAAATAGAATTTGTTTTACAGTTACAGACTACTAATAGCATATTTTTATACTTTGCATATGTGGAAACATATTTACAAAATCTAAAGGTAGATTTAACAGATGTATCGATTTTCAATTCAAATTTTAAAAAAACAACAGAATTTATGCACAACAGGTATTACAATTCAATTTCAATACAAAATGTGGTTATGGTATTGGTATGTATGCAGAGCAGTCTAAACAGAGTCAATCACAAGCATGTGGACTGGAGTTCATCCCGAGCTAATGCCCAGAAAAGCAAAAACACCAGCATCCCCAGGTGGATGGGACTCGTTAACCTTCTATGGCATCTCATGTAGGCATTGCCTAAACTCCAAAATCAAACCTAGAGATGGGTTCCCATAGGCATTAAGACATTGACACAGGGAAAATTCCTAAAACTTCTGTGATGTGGAATGCATAAAAAGTACAGTTGAAAAAACAAAATTGTTTTCTGGTCTATGTCCAGTCATCTTAACTAAGTCTTGTCATTGGATCAAATAGGCAAGGATGAGAGAGTGAGGCTGACAAATTGAGCTACTCTCCCTCACTTCAAACAAAATACAGCTCAAGTCAAAACTACTACTCAAGTCGAATATTGCCTTGGTTATCTTTGCATGCCAAGGACAAACAATAGATAATTTTATTTAAAAAATCAGTACCACTCGTTGAGTTTACACAAACTTTAACCACAAATAATCTTGGCAAATGACAGAAAATAAGATAATCAGATAATTATAATTTATCTATCCTGGAATGCTTTGAACATTTTCTGACTCCATTTCTTTAGAGTAATTAGAGTCACTGATTTTGTTAAGCATTAACAGTAATACGAGCATTAAGATTAATCTCGGGTGAAAAAAAAAACAACAACATATGTCTTGAAAAAATTATTTATTTACAGTATTTATTATGGGGAAGTGAGCTATTGATCACACAAAATTAAGTACTCAATCAAATTAAGTTCATATACTCATCTTTTTTTAAATTGTTTTAGGAAACTAAGCATTAATGAAATTAATCAAAAGATCTTTGCAAAAAAAACTTATGGTGGCTAAAAATGTATGATGAGTCCCCAAATTCAAAATTATTATAATAGAATTTAGAAATTATCAATTTAAAAAGAACACATCATAATGCGTGAGCAAAATATAGAATTAAATCAAAAGTATACAAAAATCTCTCTTTAAAATGTGATTGTAGCATTACAATTTTTTTAGTACTGGTATTCTGTGTTTGGATACATTTATAACCTAAATTTTAAAGGTTCTAGCACATATTAAGGTTCACATAAGTATAAATTACCTCTCAGTTAAGCAGTAAAATGCATTATGCTTATATTCATATATTTCTTTAAAGATTGGCAAAGCTGGTGATTTTTTCTGCATTCTATGCAGCTTTCAAAACATATAAAGTCATCAGAAGTCTCTTAAATATGATAAGACTTGGGGCCATAACAATTATTATTATTCTTTTTTTAATTTGCAAAATAAGAACTTAATGCACATATTAATCACCCATTTAGCACAAAGAAGCCAAAGATTTTCTCTCAAAGTAATTTTTTTTTTAAATATTTTTTTTATTCTTTAAAGGTGTGCTGTAATTTCTAAAATGAAAATAAGGCCCTTAGCTAATTCCAGTGGGACAGCCCTGCTTAAATAATTCATCAATAAAATGATTATTTTCACCAAGTTTAGACATTCAGCAATTTTGATAACCAATTGCAAAAGCATTATTTGAAAAAAATATTTTAAATCTAACCCTTTTTACTTACTGAAAAAAAATGAATGCTAAATTTTTTTTTCAATTATGAAACCTTTTTTTTTTTTTTTTTTCAAAAATTAACACACAGAAATTGTTATAATTTGAAGTTGAAGGGAAAGTTGGGTTGTTGTTTTTTTCCCCAGATAAAAAAAAATTGATATTTTTTAGCATTAGTAAATGATATAAATCCCCCCTCCCCTAAATCATTCCTTATTTCTATTAACACCAGTAGGAGCCAGAATGATCATCACTTTGATCGTGGGCCCTCAAAATATAGAAGAAGTAACTCAAAATACATATATTTTAAAAAATTAAATTTGTTACATTTATAGTTGCATATATAAATAGCTAACTGTGGGCTGCTCTTGTTCTCATCTCAAGTAGCATAACAACAAGCAGGAATTACTAATATTAAAGCATAAATGATGAAAGGATTTTGATCAAGTTTATCTTTTTCGCCGTCTTGTGCTGGCCTCCAGAAAGTCATAATAGAAATTATAGGAGTTCTTGAAGTAATTTGCTAAACTGTTGAAATAATCTGCCAGTTGTAAGGAGGCATCGTTGTAGGTCTTACGCAGGACTGTTCTCCCATACTCATATGCCTTTCTAATGTTCTTATAAGCAATTTGTAGTCTGGCACTGTAGTCAACAAAACCTTGGTTTGCTGGCACATACACTACATCCGCCACCCCCCTGACACAGTGCTGCCACAGCTTGGCCAGCTGCTCCAACGTTTTCCTCAGCATTTCTCGCGCACGCGTGTAAGCCTCCATGGCGGTGGCATCACTGACATTCAGAACATTCTTGACAACTTTGTAGACCGTAAGTTTGATTTGTAGGGGACCAGTCTTATGTCCTGGCGCGTCATCTCCTCCAGGATGGGAATGTATAGTTAAAACATTCTCACCGTCAACTGATGATTCATTTTTTGGTGCCCTAAACAAAGGTATTCCACCGTCAGGCAGTGGATGTCCAGTATAGTAAACAACTTCTTCAACCGATCTGCTCTCATTATCTTGTCTAACTATTTGGTCAAAGTGTTTCTCTTCTGATTGATGCAAAATTATCCCAGGCACCATGGTAGTGCCATTTAAACCTTTCAAGGGCACTCTAACAATTTCTGTTACAGAGTTTGGTGGTAGAGCTACTGTTTTTCCAGGTGATAATAATATAATTTTTGGGGGTCCTCTGTACACTGCTGGCTTTTTTGATGACATGGGCCATTTGGTAATTAGATCAGGAGTGGTAGTGTCAGATGACCTGATGTAGATACCATCTTCTGTGCGTGTTAGGTAGGACAATTTTGTTGTATGGGAGACTAATCTTTTAGGGGGCTTGGTGCTGTCCCCTGCAAGATGAGTCAGATCATGCCCTAGAGCGACTCCATCTTTAGTTGTGGTGGTTTGGATCAATTCATAAATCTCAGCTCCTTTGGTCAGCACCTTAATCTCAAAGCCATTCTCATCCCTACCAGGTTTAGGTGTCTTGAAGTCTGTTTGACTTTGCTGAGAAGTTCTGTCATCTGCCAGGATGGTTGTCACTGTGGTGTAGACAAAAGATGAGATTGATGATAAGACATCTGATTCCTCTGCTTTGCTTTGTCCTCCTGTTATCAGCTGTACATGAGTCCCTGATATGCTCACTGTTTGATCACTTGAGTTAAAGTCTGGGGAAGAGGATGAAGGTTCAGGCGATGGTGTTGATAGAGCTTCATATAACCAAGAAGCAACATTTTCCAGACTTGTGCTGAGAGGATGAGGATCAACTGTGACAGCTTCTGTGCGGGCACTACTGTGTCTAGGGGAAATTTCAGCATTTAATTCTGTTTTTGAATGATGTTCTATTTTTGCTTCCTCTACAGGAATTGTAATGGCAATAAGTTCTTCATAACCAGTTGTGCTAGTTTCTGGTTTGGTAGAAGGTGTTATTTTTTGTTGTCCACTTTCCGTACCAGTTGTAACTGGATGGTCTGAGTGTAAGTATTCTTTCTCTATAGTAAAAATCTCAGGTTTCAAAGATAGACCTGTCACATCTTTGTATGGAGATGTGGTTGGTTCAAGACTCGGAGAAGGAGCCGGACTGCTGCTGGAATGTGGGATTATATTCACTGACTCAACTTGCTGTGTATGGACCTGTATGCCAACAAAATCTGTCACATCAAGAGTTTCCTGGTCTTTAATTGTGGGTCTGATTGCTGAGTCTCTTGTAGCTATTCCAGCAACCTCAGACCTCTGAGTTTGAACATTTAGAGTAAATTCTGATTCAGGTAAATGGGTGGTTTGATTCTGGCCCAGTAGAGTTGATTGATTTTGTGAGGACTTTATAATCTGTGTGGTTTTTTGGGGAGTTACCTCAACTTCTTCTAGTTGTTTTGATAATGCTTGAATACCTTCATCTGTAAATTCAGAAAAGTCCGTTGTTTGTGCAAGTGGTGTCAATGTTGAGTTGTATTTACTGTCAGGTTCCAATTCAACAATCTCAACTTTCTGGGTGTCTAATTTGAGTGTAAAATCAGGAATGTCTGTTGTTTGGGTTAGTGGTGGCAATGTTGATTTGTATTTACTATCAGTTTCCAATTTAACAATCTCAACTTTCTGGGTGTCTAATATGAGTGCAAAATCAGGAAAGTATGTTGTTTCGGTTAGTGGTGGCAATGTCGAGTTGTGTTTACTATCAGTTTCCAATTCAACAATCTCAACTTTATGGGTGTCTAATTTGAGTGTAAAATCAGAAAAGTCTGTTGTTTCGGTTAGTGGTGGCAATGTTGAGTTATATTTACTATCAGTTTCCAATTCAAAAATCTCAACTTTCTGGGTGTCTAATTTGAGTGTAAAGTCAGGAAAGTCTGTTGTTTGGGTTAGTGGAGGCAATGTTGAGTTGTGTTTACTATCAGTTTCCAATTCAACAATCTCAACTTTCTGGGTGTCTAATTTGAGTGTAAAGTCAGGAAAGTCTGTTGTTTGGGTTAGTGGAGGCAATGTTGAGTTGTATTTACTATCAGTTTCCAATTCAACAATCTCAACTTTCTGGGTGTCTAATTTGAGTGTAAAATCAGGAATGTCTGTCGTTTGGGTTAGTGGTGGCAATGTTGAGTTGTATTTACTATCAGTTTCCAATTCAACAATTTCAACTTTCTGGGTGTCTAATTTGAGTGTAAAATCAGGAATGTCTGTTGTTTGGGTTAGTGGTGGCAATGTTGATTTGTATTTACTATCAGTTTCCAATTCAACAATCTCAACTTTCTGGGTGTCTAATTTGAGTGTAAAATCAGGAATGTCTGTTGTTTGGGTTAGTGGTGGCAATGTTGAGTTGTATTTACTATCAGTTTCCAATTCAACAATCTCAACTTTCTGGGTGTCTAATTTGAGTGTAAAATCAGGAATGTCTGTTGTTTGGGTTAGTGGTGGCAATGTTGAGTTGTATTTACTATCAGTTTCCAATTCAACAATCTCAACTTTCTGGGTGTCTAATTTGAGTGTAAAATCAGGAATGTCTGTTGTTTGGGTTAGTGGTGGCAATGTTGAGTTGTATTTACTATCAGTTTCCAATTCAACAATCTCAACTTTCTGGGTGTCTAATTTGAGTGTAAAATCAGGAATGTCTGTTGTTTGGGTTAGTGGAGGCAATGTTGAGTGGTATTTACTATCAGTTTCCAATTCAAAAATCTCAACTTTCTGGGTGTCTAATTTGAGTGTAAAGTCAGGAAAGTCTGTTGTTTGGGTTAGTGGAGGCAATGTTGAGTTGTGTTTACTATCAGTTTCCAATTCAACAATCTCAACTTTCTGGGTGTCTAATTTGAGTGTAAAGTCAGGAAAGTCTGTTGTTTGGGTTAGTGGAGGCAATGTTGAGTTGTATTTACTATCAGTTTCCAATTCAACAATCTCAACTTTCTGGGTGTCTAATTTGAGTGTAAAATCAGGAATGTCTGTTGTTTGGGTTCGTGGTGGCAATGTTGAGTTGTATATACTATCAGGTTCCAATTCAACTTTCTGGGTGCCAAGCTGAAGAGTAATGTGGGAGTCATCACTAATTGTGGTTGTGTTTACTTCCATTGAAGCGGCAGCTCGTGTGCTTACTGAAGCATCTTCTATCTGAGGTGTGCTGGTTTCTACAGGTATTATAAAGTTGAGATCATCTTTATGTCTTATGGTGACCTCTTCAACTCTCTTAGTATAAACTGTAAATAATTCATCATCTGGTAACCAAACAATGTCAGCAACTGTTGTTGTGGCCTCACTTGTCTCTTCCATTTCTCTGGTTTTCAAGTGGTCCACTACTACTTTTTTAGTCTCTATTTCAAATTTAAGTTCTGTTGAAGAAGATGTGCTATCTTGTGCGATTGGAGGTGTGACTGTGAAGTTGGTGACAGGTGAATGGCTAGCTGGTGTGGCTGGAGGACTGTCTGTGAGGTTAGTGACAGGTGAATGGCTAGCTGGTGTGGCTGGAGGACTGGCTGTGAGGTTAGTGACAGGTGAATAGCTAGATGGAGGACCTGATGTTGTTTCTGAATCGTTATGATAAATTTTTGTATCATCTATTGGAGTTTTTGGTTGTATTGTTACAGCGACTGCTTCTTTGGTCTCAATTTGGATAACAACCTCATTCATATCTGATGTAGATGTTGGCACAGGCGATGTGGCTTCTTTTGTAGATACACCTTCAGAGGTTGAGTGAGAAGGTTGTGCCGGCTGTGTCTCTGTCCTATGACTATGATCAGTCACTACAGGAGAGGAAACATGCTGAAGGGTTCCATCTGTCGCCACAGTTTTCTCTACAGGCAGTATAGCTAGACTTACAACTTTCTTTGTTTCTAACTTAAATTTTTCTTCCCAATCATCAGTATATGCTTTACTGTCTGTTGTCTTCACACTCTCTGTAGCAACCTTCTTTGTTTCAACAACTAATGGTGGAAATGTGCTCTCATCTGTCCAGTCTAAAGAATAGTTTGATGAAGTGGTGGCCATCTGTATATCTATTTCTCCCTTTGTTGTTGTTTTTTGGCTTTCCAAATGTATGCCGTTAGTGGTTGTTACCAAAGGAATAGCTGATGTCTTTGGGCTTGTCTCAGAGGTCGTATTTGATGCAAGTTCAAAGAAAGATTCATCAGTTGTATTGAAAAAAGCATCAGTTTGTGTTACGCTCTGTGAAACTATTACATCAACATTTGTAGTGGGCGCGGCTGCAGTTGTTGACTTTTCCCAGTCTTTCGTGGGCTGTTCCCAGTGAGTAGGTTTATATTTCTCATCACCAACATGCTCGGTGGAAGGGCTTGTCGTTCCTGATGGAATGATAGTGTCCTTGGTTGTCCCTAAAGCTTCAGAGCTGCCAGCAACAGTGAACAAATCACTCTCTTTAGTTTCATCTTTTGTCACAGAAACATCTATTTGAGTGGTGTTATGGCTTGCTTCTGATGGTAGTATAACTCCCTTGTCTGTAGCTATGGTAAGTTCTTTAGTAGCTACCGAAACTGTAGTATCTTCCTTTAAATGGATACCATTTGTAGTTGTCAGTAAAGGAATGGGAGCTGCTGTGGTATTTTCAGGTTTCACAGTCGTATGAGAGGTTTCATTTTCAGTTTGGCAAAGCTTGCTCACTATTACTCCATTGATTTGAGCGATACTTGAAATAAGAGCACCTCCTTCATCTGTTGCTTCATCTTCCTCACAAGATTCAATATATTGGGGAGTTTCATCAGTTTGATCGGCTCCATCAGTCTGTGTCCCCACAGTAATATTGGGTCTATGGGATATCCCCTCAGTGGGTGTATGGGTTGTCCCCTCAGTGGGTGTATGGGATGTCCCCTCAGTGAGTGTATGGGATGTCCCCTCAGTAACAGTGGGAGTAAGAGATGTCCCCTCAGTAACAGTGGGAGTAAGAGACGTTCCCTCACTAACAGTGGGAGTAAGAGATGTTCCCTCAGTAACAGTGGGAGTAAGAGATGTTCCCTCAGTAACAGTGGGAGTAAGAGATGTCCCCTCAGTAACAGTGGGAGTAAGAGATGTCCCCTCAGTAACAGTGGGAGTAAGAGATGTTCCCTCAGTAACAGTGGGAGTAAGAGATGTTCCCTCAGTAACAGTGGGAGTAAGAGATGTCCCCTCAGTAACAGTGGGAGTAAGAGACGTCCCCTCAGTAACAGTGGGTGCCTTTGAAGTTAAAATTGATGTATGAAATATATCCATTGTTTTCTTATCACTAGATGATTCTTTAGTTGTCATAATATCTCTAGAAAATGTTTCAGTTATCATATCAGCACCACCTGCTTCTTGGGTTGTCACTTCCGATAATTCTTTCGTGGTCTTAGAACCAAATATGTCTTCATTGGTCAAATTATCAATAGATATTTCTTTAGTTGTAAAATAATCTCTAGATATTTCTTCAGTAGTAATATCAACTGACAATTCTGTAATATTCAAACCATCAATAGATATGTCTTTTGTTGTTAAATCAGATTGTTTTATAGTCGTCAAACCATCAACAGATATGTCTGTTGTTGTCATATCAGTTAAATCTACGGTAGTCAAACTATCACCAGAAATTTCTTTGGTTGTCAGATCATCACGAGATATTTCTTTTGTTGTCAAACCATCACTAGATATCTCTTTTGTTGTCAAATCAGATGATTCTATAGTAGTCAAATCCTCACCAGATATTTCTTTTGTTCTCAAATCAGATGATACTATAGTAGTCAAATCATCACCAGACATTTCTTTTGTTGTCACATCAGATGATTCTATAGTAGTCAAATCATCACCAGACATTTCTTTTGTTGTCAAATCAGATGATTCTATAGTAGTCAAATCATCACCAGACATTTCTTTTGTTGTCAAATCAGATGATTCTATAGTAGTCAAATAATCACCAGATATTTCTTTTGTTGTCAAATCAGATGATTCTATAGTAGTTGAATAATCACCAGATATCTCTTTAGTTGTCACATCAGATGATTCTATAGTAGTCAAATCATCACCAGACATTTCTTTTGTTGTCATATCAGATGATACTATAGTAGTCAAATCATAACCAGACATTTCTTTTGTTGTCAAATCAGTTGATTCTATAGTAGTCAAATCATCACCAGACATTTCTTTTGTTGTCAAATCAGATGATTCTATAGTAGTCAAATCATCACCAGACATTTCTTTTGTTGTCAAATCAGATGATTCTATAGTAGTCAAATAGTCCATGGATATTCTTTTTGTTGTCAAATCAGATGATTCTATTGTAGTTGTAGTCAAATCATCTGCCGATAGTTCTTTTGTTGTCAAATCAGATGATTCTATAGTAGTCAAATAATTACCAGATATCTCTATTGTTGTCAAATCAGATGATTCTATAGTAGTCAAATAATCACCCGATATTTCTTTTGTTGTCAAATC